AGCCGTGTGAAAGGACAACGGTGTCGGTCGCTAGTCGCTCGGGCACTAAATTAGCCCGCTCTCCGGCTGATTTGATGTGCGCTTGTGCTGGTCGCTCCAGCGCTCGGATGTCGTTCGACCTCTCCGAAAGTATTGCGCCCGCCACCTGAAGATCTTTTAGCTTTTTCCGACCGTGAGGCGTCCAGAATTTATCTAATTCCCCGTCTCTTCCAGAAAATTTCAGCTCCTTCTCAAGCGCCAAGACCCAGACGGACTCAGCGTGGCCGAAGAAGAATGGATCGAAACAGCCTATCCGCCTTCCGAATTGGGCGCCCTCTTTGTTAGCCGCAAAACTGCTTAAATCACGGATTTTCGCACTTCCTAATTAGACTTAGGTTCTTGCCACTGAAAGACACCACTGGCTTAATCAAACTTCCAAAGAGAACTGACGATAGGGGACGCTGGCTTTTTGGCGGCAAACTCCCTAGCCAGTCGATATAGAAATTTCCCACAAATCGCTTTTGACACTTGAACCTGTAAGCGCACTTCTCCCCTTTTTCCACCAGCATTCGCACAGACATCCTGACCGCTGGATGGCGCCACAAACGAAAATTCGAATCTGTACACTACAAGCGTTACAATAAATCCATTAATCTATTACTTATTCGCCATTAATAATTGGATGACTGCAGTGCTCTTATATTTGCTATACGTTGGAACTGAGTGCTTGTTTTTACAATTGTAAATGCCACTCCTCTTCTTCTTGCCATACCATGTTCCAGCTTCTCCAATACAAATCACATTTGCAAATGCACGCTCATCCCCCATTTTCTGTCCATATCTCTTACCTTTTTCCTTTTCCTTGTAGTTGGTCGTTTTTGTATAATAGTAGTTTTGTTGTATTTTAATTTGTTCTGTGTGCTTTTTTCCTTCCTCCAGCTGCACAAGTTTCTTCCATGGCCCAATTGTAAATATAAATGCCATTACCACCTTCTTGACCTCTCTCCCCATGGAACTTTCGACAGCTCGACACAGGCATGGACCATATCGATATCGATATATTTCTAACCCTCTTCAGACCCCATTTTTACTTTTGCATGGTAATCTATTTGTAATTTAACTAATTTATTTATTTATTGACCAGGTTGCAGCCAGCCACTTGCTTATAGTTTATTGTCGCCACTACATTTAAAATTTCCGCCACTACACTTAATTTGGCCTCTCTCGATAGACTGGGAATAATTTATTTCACCATTTTTGATCGTTTTTGTTTGAGCGCCTTGCAAATACTTGTATATATGTATTTATATGTTTTTTGTTTTCCTTGTTTAATCAAATAAGTCGACAGTTGGCCAATAAATGACCATACCCGCCAATTCCCACATACTTTTCACACACACAGCTATTCCATTCATACATTGAGAGTTGCAGACATACAGACAGACAGACAGACAGACTTACTGCTAAATGGACAGTATGACAGTTGTTAGAAGCCAATACAATTTAAGAGTTGTTCCTCGCGCCTATTGTTCCTTGTCTATGAATATGCATTAAGAGCTCAGCGTTTGTTCTATAAAAGCCAATACAATCCATGCTGACATATTGTTTGTGAAATTTATTTCCATGCCTGTTTATTCAGGTGATGGTCGAGTTTGTTTTCGTATCCTTGATTGGTAAAATAATTGAATGGATTTTCTTAAACGAGTAGGGCTGTAGTTTTCTTTCTTGCATTATTCTCTCTGTTGCCGCCACTACAATACGAATTAGCTGCCATTAAGCCAGAGAACAAAGGTTTCAGTGTATTTGAGGTTTGACTCTAGTTTAGATTGGGAATGAGACGATGTTTTTGTTGTTTGTCCACTGTCCGACCTTAGGTATGGGTGGATTCTGATTTTGTCTTTGTTATAGGATCCATGCAGGTGAGCCTGCAATTGCTGGCTTTATTGGATGGGCGGATGCCTTTTAACATGCTGCAGCCATTGATGATTGGTGATTCCAGTTGCAGTCTTCAGAACAGCGACTCGGGCGACGCCATCTCTTCCAGGTAGTAGTTCGACCACCCTCGCTAGTGGCCACTTCATGGGAGGTAGATTTTCATCCTTGACGAGGACCAGGTCGGTGACAGCTAAACTCGGTTTCTGAGTTCGCCACTTTGAGCGCTGCTATAGCGACGTGATGTACTCCTCCTTCCACCGGGACCAAAAGAGCTGTTGAAGGTACGAAACGCGCTGCCAGGCGTCAAGGCGATCGAAGTTTAGCTTCGTGTCGTCAGGCTCAGCGAATAAAGCAGGAGGGGTACCATTCAAGAAATGTGCTGGAGTTAAAACGTCTAGATTGGCAGGAATCTCTGAAATGGGAACTAAAGGTCTTGAATTAATGACTGCCGTGATGTGGCATAACAGCGTCTGCAGCTCATCAAATCCAAGAACCGAATTGGCGCTCGATAGAAGTGGTACTTGGCCGTCTTCACTGCAGCTTCCCATAGGTCACCAAAGTGTGTAGAGCGCGGCAGGATGAAGTGCCAATCAATAGACTCAACCAAACAGAAATCCAGAACCGCCTTCTGATGATCATCGCTGAGAAACAGGCGTCTTAGCTCTACGAGATCGTTCCTTGCACCGACAAAATTGGTTGCGTTGTCTGACCAAATTTGCCGTGGCTTTCGTCTGGTAAGCGCTTTAGGCTGTGGAGAAAAGAGACTGTCGACAGCTCCAGATGAACAGCCTTGGTCGCGAAACAAATGAGGACGCAGACGTAGCACTTGATTGGAGCCTTGTTGCGTGCCTCCGGGTTGTAGAAAAACTGGCCACAAAAGTCTACGCCTGTGATCTCAAAGGCATGAGAACCGTCTAGGCGCTCCTTTGGAAGATCCGCCATGATGTGCTCCAATATTCTAGGTTTCATTCGAAAGCATCTCACGCACTTGCTTACGGCCTTGTTAACTGTCTTTCTCCCACCAATAGGCCAATATTGGGATCGAATTAATCCCAGCAGAGCCCGAGGACCGGCGTGTAGATTCCGCTCATGAAAGTGCGAGATAATTGCAAGAGTAAGCGGATGATTGCTGGGAAAGATGATGGGATGACGGCCATCAAAATCCAACGAAGAATTCTTCAGCCGACCGTCAACTCTGAGGAGTCCAAAATGATCCATGAAAGGGCACAATAATGAAAGTAAGCTGGATGAGGAGACCACTCCCCTAGCGCGCAGTGATTTCATGTCTTCCCAGAGCTGCGTACGCTGGACCAGCCGCACCAATATTTGGGTTCCACGCTCAATGTCAGAGACGGTGAGTCCAGGGCGCCGAATCCGGTTGCAAAATTTGTGAATGTAGCCAAAAACGCGCTGCAAAGAAGCGAATGAGTTCGCATACTTGGATTTGGCTACAATGTCCAAGTAGGGTGATTTGGCCAAGAAAACCTTACGACGTAGCCTCAAGGGTTGGCTTATCAGGCAACACCGTAGCTGGTCATTCATCTGAAGAGCCCCAAAGAAAGGGAGGTCCATGAGTCCAAAGGGATGACTCACTCAACACGATTGGTAGAAAGAATGTCCTCGTGAAAGAATGTCGGCCGGGTTCAAATCTGTGGGAACATAATGCCATTCCATTTTTTCAGTCAGTTTCTGTATCGTTGCCACTTTATTTGCCACAAATATATTGAATCGGGACGGCTCGTCCCGAATCCAAGATAGCGCAAAAGCCGAATCACACCAAAAGTAGCACCTTCCTTTGAAGACACTCATTCCTGCTACCTCAGATATGAACCTAGCTATCAATTCCGCTCCACAAAGCTCCAGCTTTGGTATGGTTAGTATTTTCAATGGAGCAACACGAGATTTTGCACAAAGTAAGTGACTGCTGGATCGCTGACCCTTCGACACAAATAAATGCAGGCACCATAAGCCTCTATGCTGGCGTCGCAAAATCCGTGAATTTCTAGCTCAAAATTCGGAATGAGCACAAGCCGAGGAAATTCATAACGCCGAATCTGGCCAAAACTTCTGCATATTTCCCAGGACAACTTCTCTTTACACAACTGCTGGAGAAAGATTTTTGATTTTGTAATGATAGGACCAGCTAGCCAGGGGATCGTAAAACCGAGCTATTGTTGATAAAACGGAACGCCTGCAGGGACGCGAAAATGACTGTAGGGCCTGTTGAGGAACGCATCCGATATTATTTTGTCACCTTTATATATTAAGTCCATCTCGAAGACAAAATGAAATTAGGATAGAATGTAAGAGACGAAAAAACAGCTGTATTCGCTTGCCGCTGCGTCGGCATTATTCAGTACCGAAAATACAGCGAACCGAACAAGAAATAAAATTAATACAGTCCACTAAAATCAAGTTACTCAAAAGGGAGTGTTCCAGAACATTCTTTGGTCATTCGAGACGGATTCTTGTACAGTTTTTGGTGTGCTTCGGTATTCATTTGATAATTGTTAACAATGGAACAATTAAGGGAATTGGTAAAGATGGGAACTAAGGCCATTATCACACGCGCTTTGGCTTGGGTAGAACGGTCGAAAGCAACTCTAACTACAACAAACATCGGGGATGGCAGCAATGGCCTTCATCTACAAAACGACGCAGTACTCAGTCTGCTACAACAAGAACAACAGCTATTCGAGCAGTTAGCTGCAAACCAGAACACAACGAACATGTCCGTGCATGCTTATGGTGACGGCGAAGTTAGAGGTACGGCGAATTCGAATTCTGCAGCTGGTGCGGCACCAATAATGCAAAGCGAATTGCCTAAAATTCAAATCAAGCGGTTCGCTGGCAACTACACAGAGTGGCCAGCCTTTCAGGATATCTATGAAAGTGCAATTCATAGCAAACAGCATTTGACGAACACATAGAAGTTCCATCATTTGAAAACACTACTGATCGATGAAGCTGCCAACTTGGTACATCATTTGGCAATTACTGACACTGCTTACAGCACTGCATGGGAGCGTCTAAAAGAAAGGTACAATCGGCCGAGGCATATTGTAAATACGTTTTTGCAACAATTTATGAGCTTGCCAACAACTACTAAAATTGATGCGGCGGTTTTGCGTAAGGTATCCGACGGTGCAAACGAGATTGTTCGTGGTCTGGATGCTGTTAACCAAACGGGACGCGACTGTTGGATCATCTATCTGGCACTAGAGAAACTTGACGCTGACACGAGGCGCAGGTGGATTGAACGCAGTATGGACAAAGACTCACCCACTCTCGACGACTTCTTCAAGTTCTTGGATGATCGTTGCGAGGAATTGGAACTGAGCAAAGGGGAGCTTGTGACCGTCGGCAAAGCAGCTACGCAAGGGGACAAACCAAAAAGGTTCACACATTCGATGGTGGCGGTTGAAGGCAGCAACTGCACCAAATGCCATTCGACAGAACACATTCTGTATGGCTGTTCCCAATTTTTGGACATGACAGTTTTGCAACGACGATCTTTTGTTAAGGATAAGGCTTTATGTTACAACTGTATGAAACCTGGTCATTTGAGCAGCAAGTGTAAATCCAAATACACATGCAAACACTGCAAAGGTCAACACCACACCTTACTCCATTCACAAGGTACCACATCGAGCACTATCGGGAGCTTTCCTCAAACTGAGGAGGAGTATGGGAGCAATTCAAATGCTCAATACAACACTGCGGTGACTTCAAGTCACGTTGCCCAAGTAAAAGGTGCATCTTCGGTTGTATGTGCGCAAGGCACTGCAACATCAACACTAAAAAATGGATTGAGCAGAAGTACATTACCCACGGCCATGGTTTATGTTCAAAACGCAAAAGGAAAATACATAACCTGTCGGCTTTTATTGGATACAGGCTCAGAACTCTCCTATGTATCGGAACGCTGCATTCACGCTCTTGGCTTGACACGTTTACATTCAGGCATTCTGGTTTCGGGAATATTGTCAGTAAAAGCTGACACCACAAGGGGATGCAGCAAACTCCACATCAAGTCCCGGATTTCTGATGATCATCTGGATGTATACGCCCATGTACTTGGCAGTATCTCGTAATCACTGGGAAGGCAAAACATCGACGCATCGGCACTCAAGGTGTTCAATGATCTACAATTGGCTGATACAAACTTCTGCACAAACGCACCGATCGACATTTTATTGGGTAGCGAACACGTGGTCTACACTTACAGGAAGGAAGATGTATGACAGCAAAGGCAATCTTATCGCCATTTCATCGGTTTTCGGATGGGTTGTCACGTCACTCATGACACGCCAAACACGTAACGCAATTACACTTACCACAACCTTCGATATAGAATCGTCGCTCCAGAAGTTTTGGGAGCTGGAGAGCGTCGACTGTACTACTAAACTGGAACCCGAAGATGAACAGGTCGAGAAACACTTCCTCGCCACACACACTCGCTTCCATTCAACACTGCACATCCTGAATTTGGAGACACTCTACAAGGAGCTCTCAACCGTTTCAAATCGGTGGAACGGCGCTTACAACACAATGAGCCGCTACGAATCCAATACATCGATTTCATGCGAGAATATCAATCTTTGGGACACTGTCGTCAAACGAAATCAGTGCTGGGCAGCATTTCTACATGCCACACCACCCTGTGTTGGGTCGAAAACTCCGTGTAGTTTTTGATGGTTCATTTCGCGACGCCAATAGAAAGGCATTGAATGACACTCTCTTTATACGACCCAGCATCCAACGCGATCTGTTTGTTGTGTGCCTCCGCTTCAGAATGTACAAATTCGTATTCTCAGCTGACATTGTGAAAATGTTCCGCCAAATCTGGGTCAGCAGCAAGCATCGAGACTTTCAGAGGATCATTTGGAGAGAAGATCCATCGGAACAAATCAAGCATTTCCAACTTTGTACTGTCACATACGGAACCTCATGTGCACCATTCCTAGCAGTTCGTGTATTGGAACAACTGGCTTCGGATCATCGGCACGAATTCCCGAATGCTGCGAAAATCTTATTGGAGGATTTCTACGTTGACGACGTTCTTACTGGAGCAAACAGTGAGGAAGAACTGCTACAAAATCGAAACGAACTCATACAACTAATGTCTTGTGCCAACTTAGAGCTCGGAAAATGGGTATCAAATACCAACTCCATAACAGAGGACCCCGATTCCTCTACCCAACTTACTCAATCGTCACCAGTAAAGGTTCTGGGACTCTACTGGCACCCTGGAAAGGACACTTTAACGTACAATGTGGGTCTATCTGCAAATCCCAGCTGCACAAAACGACAAGTCTTGTCCGACGTATCACGGATATTCGACCCGCTTGGACTCATGGCACCCGTCGTGGTTCAATTCAAGATCCTCTTTCAACGCCTATGGCTACTCAATCTGGACTGGGATGATCCACTCCTAAACAAACTGGCAGACGATTGGCTGAAGTGGCGAGCAGATCTCGACACTTTGCAGCAGTTTCAGCTACCACGCTTGGTTGTCAACGACGCAGACAACATCGAGTTGCACGGATTCTCCGATGCTTCAATCAAGGCATACGCTGCTGTAGTGTACAGCAGAGTAATACACGACGATGGCTCTATTTCCGTATCGATAGTAGCTGCAAAGACAAGGGTGGCCCACTCAAGCAACAATCTTTGCCACGCCTGGAACTTTGCGGAGCACTTCTACTGAGCAAACTGATATGCTCAATTAAGTCTGCATTACGACAGAGAAACACCACTGTGTTTGCATGGTGCGATTCTACAATTGTTCTATCATGGCTATCATATGCACCAGCCCAGCTGAAGACATTTGTTGGGAACCGCACTTCGGAAATTCTGGACTCCATCCCTCGCCATGCTTGGCGTCATGTGGACTCCAAAACAAACCCAGCTGATTGTGCGTCCAGAGGCCTCATGGCTGCCGACCTTATGGACTTTCAGTTGTGGTGGACTGGTCCCTTGTGGCTACGGGACAGGGATCAATTCATGGTAAAGTTGAACAACTCAAGGTATTACTTATCTCTTTCAGGAAATGGCATACAAAATGAAGTCAAAACTACTTGCTTGTCCACATTGACCGAATCACATTCGGTTAATCAGCTGGAGGAACTAATAGCCCGAGTTTCTTCCTGGCTGAAGCTCGTCCACGTTGTTGGCTATGTTGTTCGCTTCATTGAACGCACCAAGCATCCATCTCAGGACAGAAGCTCCACATCTCTTACATTTGAGGAGCTCAATACGGCACGCATTATGTTTTTGCGACAAACACAAACATGCTTCAAAGACGACTACCAACTTCTACTTGCCAAGAAACCATTACGGAGCCGATCTCAACTGGTGAAACTTTCACCAATCATTGACCAGGACAATGTACTCAGGGTTGGCGGGCGATTGCATCACTCGAAATTGCCTACAGTAGCAAAACACCCAGTCTTGCTGCCAAAACACCATCGCGTCACGAAACTCATCTTGGAACACTAGCACCGAGTCAACCTGCACCCAGGTGTTTCTGCACTATTCGTTATTGTTCGCCAAAGATTCTGGATATTCGGCGCACGTAATCTCATACGCAAAATTACACACGACTGCTTGGCTTGCTTTCGACAAAGACATCACACATCACAGCAACGAATGGCTGACCTACCCAGCATTCGTATAATGCAGGCACTGCCATTTGTCAACACCGGTTGCGACTACGCTGGGCCACTCCTTCTCAAGGATGGAAAGGGTCGCAAACCACGCATCAGTAAGGGCTACATATGCCTATTTGTTTGCCTAGTCACGTCGGCAATCCACTTGGAACTTGCCACTGATCTCACCACTGAAACGTCCCTGGCAGCGCTGCGGCGCTTCATATCTCTACGTGGCAGGTGCAGCAAAATCTACAGCGACAACGGCACAAATTTCATCGGTGCAAAACGCTCACTCGATGAAATGCAAACACTACTGGCGTCACAGCAACACACCAACCTGATCACCCATACCATGGCAGATGAGGGTATCCAATGGGTTTTCATTCCACCACGTGCGCCTCACTGGGGTGGAAAGTGGGAATCGGCAGTTCGATCTGTTAAACTGCATCTTCGGCGAGTCATCGGAAGCTCAACGCTTACATTTGCCGAGCAGATGCGTACCCTACTTGCTCAAGTCAGCGCAGTGGTCAACTCACGACCTCTCTGTTACACACCAGATACTGAGGTCAACTATCTATCGCCAGCTCACTTCTTAATTGGACGTCCATACACCGCTATACCTGAGGCTGACTTGGATCACATCCCTGTGGGCCGATTGGGCTACTGGCAGAGCATTCAATCTATGTACCAAGGTTTCTGGAAAAAATGGCATCAGGAGTACCTGACAACGTTGCAATAGCGTCCGAAATGGACCACGTCAGTCCCTAACATCACGAGCGGAGACGTTGTGCTCCAACACACCACCGTCTTCATGGAACATCGCAAAGGTTATTGAAACCTATCCAGGAAAGGACGACCTAGTTCGAGCAGTCAGGCTCAAGACCCCATCTGGAGAAATTACCCGACCAATCACTAAGATTGCCGCTGCGCCGGCATTATTCAGTACCGAAAAGACAGCGAACCGAACAAGAAATAAAAATAATACAGTCCACTAAAATCAAGCTACTCAAAAGGGAGTATTCCAGATCACATACTACACGGAGTATTTGCTATGAGCTCACTAGCTCACAACACTTCGTGGCAAATACCACAAAATGGTTCTGCTTCCTGCAAAGCAATTGCGATATCTTCTGTACTTCGCCTTACAGCCATTACATATCAGACACCATAAAGTGAATTTCAAAAATTTAAGAATATAAAAAAAATTAAAAAGGATAATTTGCAATAATAAGTGGTTGTAATAAGAATAATGTCTGTCTTTCTCACATGCCAGAATACTTACAATTCTCTAATAGGTTTCATTAGACTTTTCTATTGCTATTAATATGGACTATGTATGTATATTATCTATGACCTCTTGCATTGAACCATTGGAACAATTATCGCGTTTTCGCAATATAAAATTGTAAATCCAAAATTGTAAATCAAAATAATTCATGATGCACTATTTGTTGGGCAGGTTTGCTTTGGTCGATCAATCCAAATTAAAAAGAATTGATATCGCAAACTCCTAAAACAATTCCTGGTTACACTGATCATGGTTTGCTATTGTATAACTATTTCCGACACTCGCAATTATGCACTGTGTGTCTGCTTTGCTTAACCAATCCTACAAAAATAATTGCAGTTACTTAATCCTAAAACAGAGTCCACACACAAATTTTGAGATCTTGATCTTCAAGCAATATAAGTATAAAAAAATGTATTCTTGTTATTTAAATGGATAAGCCGGTGAGCTTGGTGAACCAAGGCAAGGTTTGCGTATTTTATTAAAATAAACCGGCCTAGTATGATAGGCATAGGCATAGATGACACTATAAATCTAAATTTTAATAACAATAATAATAATAATAACAATTCCTCACCAAACTGTACTTTTGTACTCCACTACATTTAATAGTGCACTTGTACGGAAAATTATAGCTGGCTATTGCGTAAGATAAAACCATAAAAAAATTTGTTCAAAAAGCGCCGACACGCCAAATAAAAGCCCTACTGAACCCATTTCTATCTGGAGGGAACTTAGATTTCGATTGTCACTCTCTTCTCTACCCACCCTACCATGACAATGCGTGAGAACTGCTGCATTGTCTCTTGATCAACCTTTTTAATCAGATTCACCACATTTTATAAGATCCTGGCATGGATAATCGACAGACCATTACAGAGGTTTAAAGATTCATTTCATCTTCATAAAGCTTCATATTTTAATACAAAATATATTTTCAGTTCGAGTAACTATAATGTTACAAACAAGAAGGCAGAAAATTAATATTAATATTTGAAATAGGGTATTCATTTCTTAACTACTAGGTATTATTCAATGAAATTCATTAAATCATTGTAAAGAAAGGGAAACTATTGGTATATATATATACACACATATATATATATATATATATATGCGTAACGCAAGGTAAGGGTAGACTTAATTAATTTGTATTATAAACGGAACTCATAGGCACTCAGATTTTAGAGTTCTCTTAAATTTTATGGAAACTAAGACAAAAGTGCATTTTAGGCTTTGAGAACGGGATCAAATATAGTTAACCATAAATATGTATAAACGTATTCATACTGTCCAGCATGAACATAAACTGTAATAAAATTACCACATTCTTTTGTTTTTACTCACTCCGCCATAAACTTTATATTGCGTATCGTTGGGCCCAATGAAGACGTATGTTTTAGTGTTGGCTGTTTAAGATATTCAAATTAATTAAATACACATCAACAATAACTAATTCGAAAAAAAAAGTTCATATCTATCAGCCAGTTGTCTCAGTTTGCATGATTATTAATTTACGAATCGACCAAGTTCACAACATTCTTCAAGAGAACGGCATCAAATGCAAGAAGGAAAAATGTTTCTTTTTCAAAGATGAAATTGACTATTTGGGTCGCAGAATCAGCAAAAGGGGATTCTTCCAGACAGCTCTGGCTTAGAGGCTGTAAAACTCTTGAAACCGCCTTCTAGTTTACAACAATTAGAAGCTTTTATGGGTAAAGTAAATTATTATTGCAACTTTATTCCAAACTACTCTCAGCTGGCTTCGCCTCTGAACCAGCTTCGCAGAAAAAACTTTCAATACCGTTTTGGTCCGCAACAGCAGCAAGCCTTCACATCTTTGAAGTCTCACATCATTAATGCGACGCAGTTAGCTCACTTCGATGAAAATCTACCTCATTTAATAGCGACCGATGCCTCTTCATTTGGTATTGGGGTAGTCCTTGCTCATCTTCAGAACGATGGAACAGAGAGACCCATTGTTTTTGCATCAAAAACACTTGACAAGCATCAATTAAGGTACAGCCAAATCGAAAAAGTCCATAATATTCGGAGTAAAACGTTTTCACCAATATCTTTATGGCAGGAAGTTCACATTGATAACCGATCATAAGCCGCTTGCAACCATTTTCAACCCAGGCAAGCATCTTCCATTGATGACTTCAAACAGGCTACAACGCTGGGCTATCATACTCATGGCCTACAGTATCGATCCACATCTGCACATGGCAATGCAGATGCCCTTTCACGACTGCCAGTGGGTACAGATCTAGAATTCGACAAAGAAGAGGAAGAGGAAGCACGTTTACATTCAGGCATTCTGGTTTCGGGAATATTGTCAGTAAAAGCTGACACCACAAGGGGATGCAGCAAACTCCACATCAAGTCCCGGATTTCTGATGATCATCTGGATGTATACGCCCATGTACTTGGCAGTATCTCGTAATCACTGGGAAGGCAAAACATCGACGCATCGGCACTCAAGGTGTTCAATGATCTACAATTGGCTGATACAAACTTCTGCACAAACGCACCGATCGACATTTTATTGGGTAGCGAACACGTGGTCTACACTTACAGGAAGGAAGATGTATGACAGCAAAGGCAATCTTATCGCCATTTCATCGGTTTTCGGATGGGTTGTCACGTCACTCATGACACGCCAAACACGTAACGCAATTACACTTACCACAACCTTCGATATAGAATCGTCACTCCAGAAGTTTTGGGAGCTGGAGAGCGTCGACTGTACTACTAAACCGGAACCCGAAGATGAACAGGTCGAGAAACACTTCCTCGCCACACACACTCGAGATGAAAAGGGGAAGTACATCGTTGAGCTTCCATTCAACACTGCACATCCTGAATTTGGAGACACTCTACAAGGAGCTCTCAACCGTTTCAAATCGGTGGAACGGCGCTTACAACACAATGAGCCGCTACGAATCCAATACATCAATTTCATGCGAGAATATCAATCTTTGGGACACTGTCGTCAAACGAAATCAGTGCTGGGCAGCATTTCTACATGCCACACCACCCTGTGTTGGGTCGAAAACTCCGTGTAGTTTTTGATGGTTCATTTCGCGACGCCAATAGAAAGGCATTGAATGACACTCTCTTTATACGACCCAGCATCCAACGCGATCTGTTTGTTGTGTGCCTCCGCTTCAGAATGTACAAATTCGTATTCTCAGCTGACATTGTGAAAATGTTCCGCCAAATATGGGTCAGCAGCAAGCATCGAGACTTTCAGAGGATCATTTGGAGAGAAGATCCATCGGAACAAATCAAGCATTTCCAACTTTGTACTGTCACATACGGAACCTCATGTGCACCATTCCTAGCAGTTCGTGTATTGGAACAACTGGCTTTCGGATCATCGGCACGAATTCCCGAATGCTGCGAAAATCTTATTGGAGGATTTCTACGTTGACGACGTTCTTACTGGAGCAAACAGTGAGGAAGAACTGCTACAAAATCGAAACGAACTCATACAACTAATGTCTTGTGCCAACTTAGAGCTCGAAAAATGGGTATCAAATACCAACTCCATAACAGAGGACCCCGATTCCTCTACCCAACTTACTCAATCGTCACCAGTAAAGGTTCTGGGACTCTACTGGCACCCTGGAAAGGACACTTTAACGTACAATGTGGGTCTATCTGCAAATCCCAGCTGCACAAAACGACAAGTCCTGTCCGACGTATCACGGATATTCGACCCGCTTGGACTCATGGCACCCGTCGTGGTTCAATTCAAGATCCTCTTTCAACGCCTATGGCTACTCAATCTGGACTGGGATGATCCACTCCTAAACAAACTGGCAGACGATTGGCTGAAGTGGCGAGCAGATCTCGACACTTTGCAGCAGTTTCAGCTACCACGCTTGGTTGTCAACGACGCAGACAACATCGAGTTGCACGGATTCTCCGATGCTTCAATCAAGGCATACGCTGCTGTAGTGTACAGCAGAGTAATACACGACGCTGGCTCTATTTCCGTATCGATAGTAGCTGCAAAGACAAGGGTGGCCCCACTCAAGCAACAATCTTTGCCACGCCTGGAACTTTGCGGAGCGCTTCTACTGAGCCAACTGATAAGCTCAATTAAGTCTGCATTACGACAGAGAAACACCACTGTGTTTGCATGGTGCGATTCTACAATTGTTCTATCATGGCTATCATATGCACCAGCCCAGCTGAAGACATTTGTTGGGAACCGCACTTCGGAAATTCTGGACTCCATCCTCGCCATGCTTGGCGTCATGTGGACTCCAAAACAAACCCAGCTGATTGTGCGTCCAGAGGCCTCATGGCTGCCGACCTTATGGACTTTCAGTTGTGGTGGACTGGTCCCTTGTGGCTACGGGACAGGGATCAATTCATGGTAAAGTTGAACAACTCAAGGTATTACTTATCTCTTTCAGGAAATGGCATACAAAATGAAG